AAGTGTGGCTTTTAGCATCTAAATATTTGAGGATTTCCTAAATTGTATTATAGGTTATTAGTTTCTAACTTTATTCCATCTTCATTATGGGACATACTTTGTGGTTTCTGTTCTTTTACACTTGTTACCATTGTTTTAGTGCCCACAAAGTCATCTGTCTTGGTTAATGTTTCTTGTGTACATAAGAAGATTATATATTCTACTTTGGTTAGTGTTAAATAAATATCAGTGGGTTCAAGTTTCTTGACAGTTCCTCAACCTTTTTTATTTTTAGTTTTTTGGACCAGGACTCAAACTTATGACCTCATATTTGCCAGGCAAGCACTTATGCCACTGAGCTAAATCCCCGGCCCCAACTTTCTTCACAGTATTGTTACATCATCTCTTAGTAGTCTACAGTAGTCAGAAAACCAGTGAAGTTGTAGATGATATAACAATATTAAGAGAAAAGTTTTGAAGTCTCCACCTATAATTGTGAATTGATCTGCTTTTCCATTTTCTTTTTTTTCCCCTTTTATCCTCCCTTCTTTTTATTCCCATTTTCTTCTATCAGTGTTTGCTTCATGCATTTTGGAGCTTTGTCATGATGTGCATACATATTTGGGATTATTTTATCTTCTTGATTAATAAGCTCATCTATTATTATGCAGTCTCCCTCATTATCCTTGGCAGTATTTCTTCTTCTGAGTCTGCTTTGTATGATACTAATACAGTCACTTCAAACTTTCCTCTGATTAGTGTTCATTGTTAACTTGCTTTGATTCCTTTATTTTTTACCATGTTTGTATCTTTAAAGTGCATTTCTAAACTGAGTGTGGTGGCTCACACCTATAATTTCAGCATTCAGAGGCTGAGGCAGGAGGATCATTGTAAATTCAAGACCAGCCTGGGCTACAAAGTAGCCCAGCCTGAACTGCACAGTGAGACCCTGTCTCAAAAAGACAAAAAAATACAAAAATAAAGTGCTTTTTTGTATGCAGCATATAATTGGATCACATTTTTACCCATTATATAACTTCTTTTACTTAGTGTTTATACCATTTGTATTTAGTATCATATTGATATGACTGGATAAATTTGCCATGTCTTATTTTTTATTTTTTATTATTTTAAAGAGGATAAAACCAAGAAATAAAACAGAATAAAACCAATCAAAATAAACTAGTATAAGTGATATAGGACTTCAAAACTTTATGAAATCAACAATAGTTACCATAATGCCTTTTGTTGTCTTCAAAATAGCTGCAAATACCTTCAGACATAGTAAAAATAAAAAAGAATAGACTAGAAACAATAAAAATAAAGCAATGAATGCAATTAAGAACTTCAAAACAACCCAATAGTAAATCTAAAATGGCTACCATGATCTGTCTTGCTATCTTTTAAATAGCTGCTCATGCCATCAGACTTAACATAATTTGACAAAACAAAAGAGAATAAAACCCGACTCAAGAAAACAATGAAAATGATATGGTTACCAGGCAGGGATCACTTCCTGTTGCAGCCTTGTTCTCTCCCTCCACAGTCCGCGAATGGCACTGACTTACAGAGAGGCTTGGATGTGGCTGTCCCCACTCCGCAGCAGCCCATGCATGGAGCTGGTTTCCAGGTGGGGATCACCTCCTGGTAAGGCCTGGTTCTTTCCCACCAAAGTCCAGAAATGATGCTGACTCTGGAAAGAGGCTTGGGTCTCTCTACCATCTGTCTTACACGAAGGTAGACTTCAGTCTTTAGTTTCCCCTTTAGGGTTGAGTGAGTTTTTGATTAGTAGACCACTCTGGAACATAAGATAGTCACTATCTCTACCCTTATCTTTTCCCAACTCCAGGCTGTGAGAGGAGAACTTTACAATTTCAAGGAAAGCAAAAGTAAAATAAATTTTGGAAATATATCTTTTTATAAAAAATCTCGTACTGATGCTGGGACTGAGGGGATCCAGCAAGAAGCCTTTCTGGTAAGCTGTGCAGCAACCAGGAAGAGAAAAGTCAGCGCCTCCTGTGAGCCTACCCACACGTGGGCTAAAAATCAAACTTCATCTCACAAGCAACCCATGGTTCAAGGGCAGGCTGAGTTGATAGCAACTAAATTGTATGTAAAGGTACATAAAGCAACTGAATACTTGTATTGTTTGGTTGATTTTGCCCACCTGGGGCCAGCAGTCTGAGCATCTCTTGGGAGGATGACAGTATGCAATAATTTTTTAACGAATATAGAGGATTTCTGTCTAGCTTGTCTTTGAAATCCAATATTGTTCTCACTGTTTTGCTGTGTTCTGATTATTTTGCTTTATTCAATATTCTGTTTTGATAGGTTTTATTCTGCTTTGGTTTTGGTTTGATTTTGCTATACCTGACGGAACAGACAACTATGGTGAAGATAACAAGATATACTGTGGTAGCTATTGTTTTCCTAGTATCCTGCTTTGAAGTTCTATACCAATTTTGCTGCTTTGTGTTTGATTGGCTTTGTTCTGTTTTGTTTTGTTGGATTTTACTATCTTTAAAACAAAAATTTCTTTAAAATCTCGTACTATAATACCTACCATGAATCAGAGAAATCAGAATACAAATCAAGTCTACTCCACCTCTATACTCCCTTCTTATTGAATATACTCACCCACAGATTAGGGAAGAGCAACCCAGTGTGAGTACCTGTGTTGTATGCCCAGTGATATTACGGAGCCTGCTATACCAGCCAGTGAGAGCCAACTGTTAACTTTCCAGGAACTTCTCAAGTTTTTAATCAGCCATTATGAAAAATAAATACATACTTTTAAAAAGTAAATTATAGTAAAACCAAAAGTGATTATCATAATCTTATTTTTTGATTGCTTTACTATTATTCATGCTCATGGGAATTACTAATGTTTGATTTATCAGAAATGTAATAATCTACTGCTGCTCATTTCTTTCCAAATCTCTGTTTAGTAATATTGCATTGGTAGCTTGATATTGGCCATGGTAAAAGTATTCACACCATGAAAATCCATATAAATTATTGTTGTTTTGCTGGTTATCTAGACTAAAAGTTAGCAAATTTTTGTAAAAAGTCAGATAATATTTTAGGCTTTGTGAGCCACATGTGATCTCTCACATAATCTTTGGCTACTGGTTCTCAATCTGTACAAAAACTGCCACAAGTTAGATTTGACCCATGGGCTGCAGTTTCCCAATCTTTGGTCTAGACTTAAGTAGTAAAGAAGGGACTAGGAGTATAGTTCAGTGATAGAGCACTTGCCTAGCATGTGCAAGGCCCTGGATTTGATCCCAGGACCAAAACAAAACAAAATGAAACAAGATGTAGTAACAAAGAAAATGCTAAATTGTTGTGTCTATAGCCATTAGATTGTGAAAAAATTAAGGAAATATTCTTCACAGTACTCAAAATGTATCATTCATTGCAGCAAGATTGTTCACATCATTGGTGATCAAGTGAAGTTCTGAAAGGGGTCTTTACTGTCTCACTTTTGTTTCACTCATTAACACAAACAAAAATATAAAACAGCATTCAGGTTGGAACTATAAGCTTTGGTCAATTACACAATCAAAAACATTTTTGATGGGCCAGGTGTGATGGTGCATCCCTGTATCCCCAGTATTTAGAAGGCTGAGACAGGAAGAGCACCTGGAGTTCAAGGCCAGCCTGGGCTACATGGTGAATTCAAGGTGAATTACATAACTAAACCCTGTCTCAAAAAAAAAAAAAAAAAAGACGTTTTTGCTGAAATGAATAGTAGCCAACTGTTTATTCATAGTCTTTTTTAAAGTTAATTTATTTGATATTTGGGTTTTTTTGAGACAGGGGCTAGCTATGTAGTCCAGGCTGGCTGTAGTTTGGGAACTCACAATGATCTTCTTGCTACAGTCTTCTGAGTGCTAGGATTACAGGCATGAACCACCACATCTGGCTTTCATAGTCTTGATTTCATGACTCTCTTCTGAATTATGAAAACAGTAAAATTTGTAAAGAGAAAATCATAGTAAAAGTATAGGTATACAGAACTTATAATAAAGTGCAATATGATGTATTACCAGGCACAGTAGCATAAACCTGGAATCCCAGCACCTAGGAGGCTGAGGTAAGAAGATCTAGAATTCAAGGCGGATTCTGGTCAACTTAGCAAGAATAAGACAAAAATATACAGAGTACTTGCAAGCATGAGGCCCTGGGTTCAATCTTAAGTACTGCCCCCCCAATGAATTATTTTATTTATTTGGTCCTGGGGATTAAACCTAGGTCTTTGTGCATCCTAAGCCTATACTTTACCACTGAGCTATGCTGCCCCAATGGATTTTATTGTTATTTGTAAATATGCTTCATACATCTTTTGTACATTATTAGTAAAATTTATAATGCATATAAATACACAAACTTTTTTTCTAAAAGTCAGTTGTCAAGCATCTCCAGCATACAGGTGTATACACGTCTCAGGCTGAGTTGACTATTGTTCTGATGAAATGTTCAAACCAAATGAACAGGCACAAAGTCTGAGTTAGACGAAGGCAGGCATCTGATTGAAGGGAGCCAGTGCCCAACCAACTGAAGGAGACAGGAGTGTGGTGACTTCTCCACTCTTTACGGAGGAATCCACAAAGGACAGAGGTACAGCATTAATAACAAAACAAGAAAAGGATGGCTGTCTTATTCATAAAATGGACAAACAAGCAATATGCAGTTCTAAAAACAAAGTGGCAGGCACAGGCAGGCAAGCTGCAGGTAACACTAAGCAACCGACAGGAATTCCTAGTGAAGAATTACTGGTATGTCCAAGCTACCCAACCCCTTAGAAACAGCCAACAGAGAAACCTTGACTTATAGAGAATTTAAAAAAAAAACTTTTTAAGTCCTAAAACTTGTTGGACTTTTTGTTTTATTTGCTTTGCTTTCTAAATAAATTAGAAGTTACAAAGATCAGTTTTGCTTTGGATACAATGTAAACTGTGTAGGAACTGACAAACGCCCGCAGTTGTGTTTAAATCCCATAGCACCTGGTCCTTCCTTTAAAGACTTTGCATCTGGTATTTCTTGTTTCTGACTGAGAATTCATTCCAAACCAGAATCTGAATTATTGCAATGCCCAGCGGAACCAGGCAAATCAAACAAAACATAAAATCTTGAAGCTCTAACAGTACACTAAGGGAGAAAAAAATATAAAACATGGTTAGGTTTTTTACCCCCATGGCTTCTTATTGATTCAAAGCTATTTATCAAATGGCTTCAGCAAAATTTTGTTACCTATGAACCCGTTTATAAAGTCTTTAGGCATGGTGGTGCATCCCTATAATTCCGGCACTCAGGAAGCTGAGGCAGGAGGATTGCCATGAGTTCAAGACCCGCTTGCACTACATGGAGATTTCAAGGTCAGTCTGAACTGCATAGGACCTTGTCCCAACAAAATAAAAAGTAAAAGATATTTTATCAATTAATTTTAACTCCTTCAAATAATTAAACAATTCCTTCCTTCTAGTTACTTATATAAGAGGAAGCTGATGTGTAAACCTGTGACCAAAATGCCTGGGGACAAGTGGCCTGGCTGCTATCCTGGATGACACATAGGACAGAGGACAGAGACAGAGCTGGGGGCACAGAGCATAGGCTCATACACATGCACCTTTTTGCTACTTCAGTCTTGAAATTACTTGCCAGCAGGTTTTAAAGAAGATGGGAGGGTTTGCATATTTATTTCCAGCACTAAACTTACTTCCATTCAATACAAGTAGAAGAATCCAGGATTAACAACAATACTTAGAAGCAGTACATCCTGGTTTCCTGCTAAGAACTTCCACAATTCAGTGGCTTGCTGTCAAGTCCAAAGCTTCTTTTTGGCTAACTGTACTATCTAAAATAGCCTCTCAGCCAATTGAAGAATGAAATGAAAACATTAAACTATGTAATACAAGGAGAAAAGGCAGTTTCCACTTCATATTAAAACCAGTTGCTATTACCAGAACCTATGTATCATTCACTCATCTAAATCATGTAGGGACTATGTGTACATTATGTAAGTACTATGTCCTAAGGAGTAGATATTCAATGATAGGCAAAACTAATGGAGTCCCTACCATCATGGAGCTTACCTTCATGTAGGCAATAGATCTTACCGAGAAGAGGTAGATCTTACTTAATTATAAATAATTTTGATTTGCATATGATTATGTAAGATGATTATAAAAGGTGTGCTATGTTGGAAGTACTCAAGATATCAAATAAGAACTCATTACCAGAGAGTGAGACCTACTCTTGGCAAGTAGAATCCAGAAAAGGCTTCCCAAAGGAATTGGCATTTGAGCTGAGTTCTGAAGAGTAAGAAATGTTAACTGGAAAGCTTCTGCCTAGAATTGTGAGCAAAAAACTCCAACCATCACTACCTCTGCCTCTTAAAGCCATTGTTACAGATGTCCCTGGTACTCAGGACTGGGCTGCATTTGTTAGGCATCACCGTCCCTCCCAACTGCCACTCAGCAAGCCTGGCCTTCACCTTAGTCCTATGTGGTTCAAGAGCTCATTACTGTCCCACTCCCCACTCTTCTGTTGCTGCTAGTTGGGCTCTGAGACAACCACGGAGGCCGGGGTCATGGGCCAGACCCTGGAATATATAACTGACTGTGGCCTCTGGAAGCCACATGGCACTGATGTGCTCTCAGAATATGGCCACCTTTTAGAAACTCTGCCCCAATTCTCCATGGAAAACTCATGTTTAGGGACATATAGTGTTTCATCATACTTTCATTCCTTCAAGAAAAATCCCCTCCTTTTATCTGTAGTAAGCCTGCCTCAGTCCTTAGGACTTGGTGGGGCTTTACTGCCCTTCACCCCCAAAATTAGACACCTGCCCCCATTTAGCCAGAGGATTCCACACCTCAAGGAACAACTGTTGCCCTAGTGATAGGCACATGACCCATGGTACGCCTGTCCGTCTGGCACTTTTGCTGTGCTGCTGGACAAAAGTGTGTGTTTCCTCACATGGGCTGTCTGGCCCTTGTAAACCTGTAGCAGTGTTGCCATCAGGCTGTAGAAGACTGAACCAAACTCAGAAGGGAAGTTTGACAAACAGATTCCAGACATCATTTGACATTCAGTTTTGCCTGACATTTTGGATACAGGAATTAGTGAGCTTTTATTGTTGGACTAGGCTGCATTAGATTTCTGTCACTTGTAGCAAAAGTGGCCTGAACAACACACCTTTCCAGCAGGCACTTTTATCCTCATTATTGTAAATCTCAAGTACAATAAAGCACATCTTGAATACAATAAAGAAAGGAAGTGGCCTAAGAGACCTTTAGAGGGAGAAAAAATACAGTCCATGGCCATGAACTGGCAGTCACAGAATTGTTACACTAGGTGGTCTGAAAGCCCATGCTTTGTGAAAAGGTTGGTTTCTGCTGGGTGAGGCACCTCTGTGCTTTGAGTCTGTGTCTGCTTAGCAGCAGGAGCCCATTATCTTTTAGCATGATATGATTGCAACAGATCCTAGTTTCAGAAATACCAAGAAATTGGATTTCCGCTTCCAAGGGTTCTCTCTGGGAGGTTTTCCATCTCTGAGATGGAACTATCTTTTTCCTCCTCCTTCCACAGAGAGAAGGGCATGGGGAGCACCTTGATAATCTATAGAAGCAAAGTCCTTTTAAGCACACTAAAAAATATGCTCATAGAAAGCCCAAGGCTGAGCCTCAAGGACACCCAGAAAAAGAATATTTCCAGGAATATGGCGTTTTGATCACTATCATGTTGTGATGTGAGATACACTTCCTGGCTATTACTGATGTTAAACCATTTTAATGGCTGCCTACTCTCCAAAGTACCTACTATTTCCCCACTACCTCATTAAATAGTTTTATGCTCTTTAAAGAATTTCTTGGTTTTTCTGATCCTTTCTTAAGATTTTTTCTTTTTCTTGAAGTGCTTTTTTTCTTTTATTTTTTATTTATCTATTTAGAAATAGGGTCTCATTATATACCCCAGGCTGGTCCTAAACTCACAGTGATCCTCCTGCCTCAGTCTTCTAAATGTCATGATTCCAGGTGTGCACCACCATGTCTGGCTTGAAATCTTTTCTAAGCTGGAAACATACCCATGATTTTAAATAATTTTTGTTTTTCTCTCACATAACATTCACATTTACTCCACTGTGATATAAATTAACAGATTAATTAGTTGAATTACCTGGCTTTCAGACTGTTTTCACTTGTATTTTCTAAACTTATCAACATTTTTTAAATGAATCACTAGTAGAAAAATAATTCTTAAGTCCTGCATAAGTTTTTATCCATTCACAAATATTTATTGCATATTTAACAGTACCTGGTGCTTGGGATATAGAGTAAATAAATCAACAATGATCCTTATCCTTAACAAATCTTGCATCCCAGTGGGAGCAAAACTACCATAAATAAATATATTAATATCATCTTGTAATGATAACATTACAGAGCCTAGCACCTCTGCTTATAGAAACATTTTTGTACCCACTTTTGTTTCACAGACTAATTTTAACAGAAAAAAATATCTACTTCTGGATAATAATACCCTACAATGTTACTGTATGGTGCCCTTTACCTCATTTTCTGAGCTCGTACTTGTCAAACCATTTGTAAAATCTCCACAAGATAAAGGGGGCCATAAAATAAATCATTATACTCTCACCTCAAATCCTGTCATGTTTAGGATCTCCCTCATCACAAAACTAAAATGAAGCCTATCTCCATTCCATTCTCTTTCTTTGGGCAGTAGAGTAGCTGCCCAAAAACTATAAATTAATGAGATGGCTTTCTGAGAGCACCAGTGATACAGATTTGTCATTAATACTTTTACAGACAATCCTACCAACGGTGTTGCAACCAAAGTCAATATCAATCACTGAGAAACCCTGGGGAGGGAAGAGGTGCTCCAGATTGAAAAGGCCAGACAAACTCTAGGATTGTTAGTTTCTTTTGCATGGGTCAGTAAAACTTGTACAGTTGCTACTTTAAGAACAGAGGAAACTTCTTTCTAAAGTTAGCCTAGCTAGGAATATAGCTCAGTGGCATGGCCCCTGCCTGGCAAGCACAAGGTCTAGAGTTTGATTCCTGGCTCCAAAAACATTTTAAATAATAATAAAGTCGGCTTAATGAGCCCTTTTTAAGAACAATGGTGTAAAATGACTATCTGTCTGGCCTGTGTCTTGGTTGGCTTAGCTAAGTACCAGAGACTAAGTGGTTGAATCAGCAGACATTTATTTTTTCAGAGTTGTGGAACTGGAGATTCATAGTGCCAACATGGTCAGATTCTGGTGAGGGCCCTTTCTCTGCCTTGCAGAAAGGAAATCTTATTCTTGCAGGATGGAGAACGACAGAAAGAACTCGCTCTCCAGTATCTCTTCCTTTTCTTTTTCAGTTGTTTGTTTGTTTGCTTTTTGAGTGAAAAGTTGTTTGGTGCTGGGGATCAAACTCAGGGCTTCACACGTGCTAACTTTACCGAGTGAGCTACACTGCCAGCCTCTGTTGCCTCTTTGGATCAGTGTATTTATCCTATCAAACAGGCCCCACCCTCACGACCTGGTTAAACCAACTACCTCTTAAAGGCCCCATCTCCAAATACCATTATGTTGCAATTTAGGGCATTAATATATAAATTTTGAGGGGACACAATTGGAGCATAACATCCTGCTTGATATTTTTCTGTCATTGTTGGTAATTTTTACAACTCTGAAGGAGACACTGAGGCTTGGTCCAATGAAATTGTCTAAAGTTACATAGTGAATTTGGAGCTGGATCTGAGATATTTACCTAAAAAATCTTATCAGAACTAAAACTCCAATAAAAAAGGTAACTCTAATCTAAATTTATCAGAAGAAAATAATTTTTTAAGAAGGAGGCTGGGGATGGTGGTGCGGGCCTGAAATCCTAGCACTCAAAATTAAAAACAAAAAATAAAAAACCTTCCATAGAAATAAAATACTCTCAGATACGAGTATAGATGAGTAAACTCATTGCTTGATGTGATTGCGCTGTGGTCCTAAAGTCGTAAGGATTTGTTTTGGGGTTTGTTGTTATTGTTGCTGTAGTTGTTGTTTGTTTTTTGAGACAGGGTCTCACTGTATAATTCAGTCTGGCCTTGAACTCACTGTGTAGCCCAGGCTGGCCTCCAGCTCACAG